GGGGTGGTTGGGCAGAGAGGACATTTCTTTCCATTTCGTCCCGTTATGCACCGCCATTTCCCCAGATCAAGCGCGTCTTATTTTTGCTTGACCTTGTTGCGCGACGTCCCCACTATCTGAGGGCCTGGCACGGGTTAAAACAAAGTATGTGAAGGTATATTGGGAAATTAATATTCAACTAACTGATAAGAATTCAAACAGCAATAATTGAGTGACTATCAACTTTACTGTACGTTTTGACTGTCCCAGATTTGTGTTAGTTCGATCCAGTGACGGTATTTGAATTTTGACATCTTTATGTAGTGGAACCTCGAGATAACAAATCTCTACATAACGAAGTCCTCGGTATAACGAACGATTTTCTTTATCCTAGTAACAGTAAACTATATTAAAAAGAACCCCATTACTAGGATGAGTATGATCGTCCGGGTGACGTAGTCCTGAATAGGGCTGTTGTTGAGTGACAGTGCCTGACGTTCCAACAACCTGTGCGGTAGTCATCTTCAAAGTCAAAGTGAGTTGTATCATAAATGATGAAGACTCGTTATGTCATTGGTGCTTTTCGATCCGTCTTTTGCCCCAGTTAAACGGTCGTTTATTGTTAGTCAAATTGTCAGTTGTCCCGGCAGTTATTCACTGGTAGTTAGTTTAGCTTGATTCCGTCAATAAGTCGTTTGTACGGTGCCAGTAGCTGCTGACTACGATTCAGTGGCGTTTCTTCTGAATCGTAGTCAACAGACTCCTGGGTTCAAACTTTTCACAAAAAGAACCCCGATATAACGAACCCTCGATATAGCCAACAATTTTTGCCTGTCCCTTTTGCGAGGTTCTACTGTAGCTACACGTACACTTCATTTTTCTCAGATCAACGCAGCCCGTTTTTCAGATGAGATAGCACAGTTCGCTTGTCGCCGAAAATCTATTTGGAAATGAATTTTTATCTCGAAGGTCGCGTGACGATGAAACCGATGTTAACATTTCTTCTCCCCTCCCCCTGCCATCTAAAAGGTGAGATATGGAATTTATCTTCTCGTGTTCACATTCGATATCTCACTCGTTCGCTGCGCTCACTCGTTCGATATCTATGTGAACACTCGAAGATAAATTCCATATCTCCGCGCGACCATGTATTATTCTCTATTTATTAGAACAAATTATGCTAAAAAAATAAGAGGACAAGCATTGTCAAGAAAAAATCTTCACCTTAACAAAGCCATCATTTCAATCCATGGAAACACTCAAAAATCACTCATTTTTATATTGCTAAATCAAAGCTATTCTCTACTTAGTTTATTTGATGCCAAAATATTAAACTTATTATAAGACATAGTGTCCTCAACAAATCATCTTATCCAGTGTACTGTAGGGCTCATGGACATGCTGTCAACTGAAGTTTTTTTTACCTTCAAAACCTTTACAACACACAGATGATAATGAAGTGGTCACATTAGCAAGGTTGACATTCTTTAAGAATCTATTGATTGGACAAGAAACAAATGTCTGTTGTCTGCATTAATGGGTGTCTGTATAAAGTGGGTTGAATTTAGAGAAAATGTATTTGCTCTCCATGGGAACAAGGAAAATTGTCCATAAGAACAGGGTGTCCATATTAAGTGGGTGTCCATAATATGGGTTCGACTGTACTTAAAAATATGGCTGTTCAAGAATGGGCCAACTTTGTATTATTCAACAAACAGCAAGAAGTGTTTGCAGTCTTGTTTACTGGGTGTGGATAATATATCCTTGATACTCCTGTATTTCAACTGATGCCAAATGATTGCTTATTTCAGCCCTGGGAGTTAAAGGTTTTATGTTCCCAAGAGCTATCAGGGTGTATTAAGCACATCATGTTATTGGAGTCAAAAAAAAATATTTTATTCGAACAAAATGCTAAAGAAATAAAAGAGGACATAAGCATTAATGTCAAACTAAAAATTTCTAACCTTCACAAAGCCATCATTCTGGAGGACAAATTCACAGAAACACTCAAAAATCGCCCATCTGTATATTACTCAATCAAAATCGTTCTCTAAATGCTCTGATGCCAAAATAGTCTGAAATTGACATCTATAATTCTTCCTTTCCGGTGTACTACATAGCTTTGGGAACATCGACTTGCTGTCAACTGAAGGTTTTTCTACCTTCAAAAAGGAAAGGTTTTTTACAGCACATGGTTGATGATGAATTGTCCGCATTAGCTAGGTTTGCTTTCTATGAGAATCTGTTGATTGGCAGGAAACAAGTGTCTGTTGTCCACATTAATTGGTGTCCACATTAAGCGGTTTGACTTAAAGGAAAAAGTAAGGGCTTTCCCCAGGGACAAATAAAACTGTCCGTGTAACGAGGTGTCCGTATTAAGCCAGTGTTTGAATGAATAATAATAGTGGATAACTGTCATTTTATTTAGATTTAAACTCCACTCTTCTAATCTTTGTCTTTATGGCTTTGCAGAAGAGTCTTGGGTTCCTACCATGTCCTAAAGTGTGGTCAGGAATTTAAAAGACTTGAACAGTTTCAAAGGGACAACATGGTGACATTTTACATTGGCTCTGTTAGTCATTGCATTGAGAAGTTGCTCATGAATGCTGGAATTCTCACTCAAGGCAGACAAAATGTAAAACAATCTACCCCTTTGTATAAAACAAACATTCCATGTGAAGATGCTGGACCATTTTCTTCACCAGTGGTCGTTGCTTTGCATCCAGTACCAAGAAACCTTCTAGAAAAGGCAATAGACTCAACTTCATGTTTATTAGGAGTTGTTAGTGCCTTGCCAATTCATATTGGTGACCCGTCTGTGATTGGCATCAATGACATTAATCAGCCAGACTTTGGAGATCCACCAGTGTTGGATGACAGTGTTCCAGTGTTCTGGGCCTCTTGTGTCACGGCTCATTTGGCCGTCAGATCTGCTGGTATTGTAGCTTTTTTTTTGCTCGCTGTTTTTTCCTCGGTTTGTTTTCCCTCCCTCATTTTATGTCTTCAGCAAACCTCCACCATTCAACGAAATTCAGTGACCATAAATTGTCAAAGAAAAAAGGAATATATATTCCATTCCTCTTTCTAACAGGTCAAAAGGAGACCTTTGTTATAAAAAAATATATAATTAATACTCAATTATAAGAAAGTCGCCCATTTTCGCCATCAAATTCCCCGCGCGAGTGTATATCATACCCAGACCTCGCTCTTTTCTGTTATAGGTCTAAATAGGGACCTTAAGATCTGACGACGGCGACGGCAACGAGGACGTCAAAAGAGCAATAGGTTTAATATCTAAAACAACAATTTTGCACGTGCATCACGCTATTATGTGCATTTCTTTGCCGTCACTGCACGACTACGACGTGAAAGTCCCTAATGTCACGTTTCACAGAGAAAGTACTCAAGCGACGACGAAATTTCTTCTCTGTTTCTGAAATTAGATATGGTTCTCAGGAATTCACTTTAAGGAGGGTTCACGTACATTTAACAAAGTTAGTGACTTGAAGTAATCGCGATGAAGATTGAAAGAACGCGAATCCAGTTTTTCAGCGGCGTTTTCGCTGCCCTCGCCGTCCTCGGATCTTAAGGTCCCTAATGTAAGCACTCTGAGAGGGGATTTAAGAAAAAGGTAAAACTTTAACTAATACCTTAGAAAATGTCTAAAAATGAAAATTGAATGCTAATAACCCTATCCAAATGGGTGATGACTTTGTTACTGCCCCTATTTCTCGCCAATTACAGGTTTACCAATCGCCTTCAAAAACGACATGGACTGCATTTTTGTGTGTGATACACCCACAGAGGAATTCCTTCAGAAACACCCACCTATTGGTNGTATTGTAGCTTTTTTTTTGCTCGCTGTTTTTTCCTCGGTTTGTTTTCCCTCCCTCATTTTATGTCTTCAGCAAACCTCCACCATTCAACGAAATTCAGTGACCATAAATTGTCAAAGAAAAAAGGAATATATATTCCATTCCTCTTTCTAACAGGTCAAAAGGAGACCTTTGTTATAAAAAAATATATAATTAATACTCAATTATAAGAAAGTCGCCCATTTTCGCCATCAAATTCCCCGCGCGAGTGTATATCATACCCAGACCTCGCTCTTTTCTGTTATAGGTCTAAATAGGGACCTTAAGATCTGACGACGGCGACGGCAACGAGGACGTCAAAAGAGCAATAGGTTTAATATCTAAAACAACAATTTTGCACGTGCATCACGCTATTATGTGCATTTCTTTGCCGTCACTGCACGACTACGACGTGAAAGTCCCTAATGTCACGTTTCACAGAGAAAGTACTCAAGCGACGACGAAATTTCTTCTCTGTTTCTGAAATTAGATATGGTTCTCAGGAATTCACTTTAAGGAGGGTTCACGTACATTTAACAAAGTTAGTGACTTGAAGTAATCGCGATGAAGATTGAAAGAACGCGAATCCAGTTTTTCAGCGGCGTTTTCGCTGCCCTCGCCGTCCTCGGATCTTAAGGTCCCTAATGTAAGCACTCTGAGAGGGGATTTAAGAAAAAGGTAAAACTTTAACTAATACCTTAGAAAATGTCTAAAAATGAAAATTGAATGCTAATAACCCTATCCAAATGGGTGATGACTTTGTTACTGCCCCTATTTCTCGCCAATTACAGGTTTACCAATCGCCTTCAAAAACGACATGGACTGCATTTTTGTGTGTGATACACCCACAGAGGAATTCCTTCAGAAACACCCACCTATTGGTGCGAATATTAAGCTAAAAGTAGTGACTCTAAAGGAAGACCCCTTTGTCGCTTCTCTATTATCTGAAAACTCTGAATCAAGAATCAGTGGATTAGAGGCCGCCATTCAAGAAGACGTCGGAAGTCGGGGAATCTCAAATTTGCATATTCCTGGAGAGCTGGTGAAAGCGGCACTTACGTTATCTCATTCGTCTTCGGTAGCTGTTCATTTTGGTTTCCCTTGTGTTACTGGAAAGAAGTATTTGGACGAAACTGATGGTCCACCAGGCGCCATCGCAATCGGCAAAGCTCTTAAAGCTCTGGGCAAGAAAGTCACGTTTATTGCAAGCTCTTACCATATCCAATTAGTGGAGACACTTGTTTCGGAGTTTTTGGGGAGAGAAGTTTCTGTCGTGGAATTCAAGCCTCCACGGAATGACGATCCAGTCGGAGTTCAAACAGCTGCCGTGGAGTTCCTTTTCGATGATGGTGTGAAACCAAGCAATCCCAAGTTTGACGCATTGGTTGCCATAGAAGCAACGTCTAGGACAGCTGAAGGAAGTTACATGACAATGAAAGGCAGAGACTTATCGGATGTTTGTAGGAAGAGTCCAGTTGATGAATTATTCATTCAAGGTACTGTTCCTCTGAGGCCCCGTCCACACTAATCTGGATAATTTAAGAACACACTTTTTTTCTTTGATTTAGTCAACCATTCTCACAAAATCTAGTAAGTTAACCCTTTAAGTCCCAATAGTGACCAACATCAATTTTCTCCTAACGATATCCATACATTGTCATGAGATGAGGTTATGAGAATTAATAAAATGATCAGCTAAGAGAAAATACTTTGATCTTTTATCAAATTCTCTCAACCCATCCATGAAGGAAATATATAGAGATCAGTTTGGAGAATTTGTATGTGGATATTGGGGCTTAAAGGGTTAAGACGGTAAACGCTGGGTATGTGGCATAGTGTGAACAGAACTTTTTAAGAACGCCAACGTCAAATGGGCATGAATCACAATGTCATCGCGGGTCCAAGTAACGTGGTTGCGCTCTTCCATTTAATAATAGTGGGCCAAGGCACCAAAATTTATCCTGATTACCTTGGAAGGTGAAATTATTGAAAAAGATACGAAAACGTTAGTGTCGTCCACCGAAAACCTTTGAACCTTCTTTGGGGGCGAAAACTTCGTTTTCAAATTTCTCTGGAATGGATAGTGCAAACAATACATGGTTTGAGGTGGTTAAAACTGTTACTCTGGGGCCAGTTGTTTATAAGATGGATAGTGCTATCCACTGGATAATGCAAGAGGCCATTTCCGAGTTCGAAAAACTTTTCACTTTCAAAACATGGCTAATTGTAGATCCTTCTTGTGAAAGCGAGTTATATTTGCGTGAGAATAAAAATCATTTTCGTAACTATGGCTTTGCACGTGGCCTCGCTTTGAAACAGAGGCTTGAAACAACTCTGAAATGGCCTATGGTTTAGCCGTGGATGGTGCTATCCAACTTTTAAACAACTGAGGCCTGGCTGAGAATAGGACAATCACATGACTTTTGGAGGGCATAATGTAGTTTATTTGTGTCCCGAGTAGCATTATTTGCGCCCGTGCGGCAGAGCGAGGTTGCAAATGATGCTACGAGTGTGACGCTTCAATAAGTTCACGTTCATTAGTTCCTATTGACATCTATTGACCTCTGTTTAAAGGCAGAATCGAATCTACCGCTTTCAAGCTGCCATTCAAATGAGCAATTTTGTTCATGTAGAATCTGCGTTAACCGCATTCCCTTTCTTTTAGCTTATAATTCAGGGAAAATAGCCACTATAGGAATCGGCGATGGAGGAAATGAGATCGGCATGGGAAAGGTGCGCCAACGCGTTATTGAACACATTGAAAATGGC